ATTAAAATAGTTGCTTTAAAAATGTTCTAGGACAGAGAAATGGCAGAAACAATGGCACAAGGAGAAGGCTCTATCTAACATGAAATGGAGGGAAACAGTGCCGGCCCTGATTGCCCTGGCAAACGGCACAGCCACACAGGCTGATGCTGGAGGCCTCCTGAAATGCCACTCACTTTCGCCCAGGAGATCTCGGTGTCCAAGTCACCCAGCACACCTTCTGACGTGGACTTCTGCACCAAGTCGGCCTCGGTAGCAGAGAGCCATTCAGAGAGAGAGGCGGCCTCCTTCTTCACCTTCCGGGCCAGCTGCGAAGCTCTTTCCAGATCCTGCTTGCTTTCTGTCACCTGAAGGCAAGAGGAGGTGAGACCAAGACAAGAATGAACATGAATGGGAACCAGAGCTCCAACTAAACACACACACCGATTCATGTTCCTCCCGGGACAGGCACAGCCTTCATCCATAGCACCTCAGAATCCCCCTCCCGTCCTGCACGCGTACAGGGAGAGAGCAGGAGCACGCGTGATGGCCGGGTGCTCAGCATCTTGAGTGGCAGCCCTAGCTCCACCACTGTCTTCCTGTCTCCGGGAGAGGCCCACTGTTAGGAGTGCTGAGTGAGAAACTACATCCACGAAGGACTTGGCACTGCGCTTCCAACAAGTTAAGGAATTGATAATTAGCGTGTATTGTAATTCAGAACAGAAGGTGCCCTAGAACCATCTCAAGGAAGGACTCCCTGTAAGAAAAAGTACTTATAGGCTCAGGGATTTCACTCAGTGGTTCCACTGCCTGCCTCGCAAGCAGAAGGTCCTCAGTTCGATCCCCAGTAGCAAGAAAACCTACTATAGCACATCTTCACCATTCTATGTTTTATAATTAATCACATAACTTAAAACACACAACATGACTACACAACATAAACCTTATTATTATTTTGTTCTTATTATTGATCAAAATCAAAACGAACTGAGTTTTTGTGGTATGCTAGGGAACGTTAATGGCAATGTATCTTTTGGTGTAAGAATTTTAATTTTTAATTTAAACATTTGCTGTCTTTTTTAATCACATCTCATATGTGTGTTATGCAATAAAATCCACAGCAGACCGTGACAGGCCCTATTCTTCCCACTTCACATACAAGGAAAGTGAAATTTAAAGAAGTTAAGGTCAAGACAAGAGTGGCATAGCTTACAAGGGTACACGGACACACTCATGTTTATAGCAGCACAATTTCTACAGCCAGCCCTTGGAAACGGTGTATATGTCCATCAACAGATGACAGGATAAAGAAAATGGGGTATCTGTACAAGATGGAGTCCTGCTCTGCCATGAACAAAGATAAACTTGGGGCATCTGTAGGCAAATGGATGCAACCTGAGAACACAATATTAAATAACTCAGACACACAACTTAAATATCTCATGGTTTCTCTTATATGAGGAAAGGAGGGGCAAATAGATAAACAGGAAGATCTTTTTCAAATGGATGGGGAAACAAGAGTTGAAGGAAGAGAGAGGGAAAGAGCATGAAAAAAGGAAAGCGTTTGGGGTGGGGGGGAATGATGGTGAAAGTAGAGCTTTTCCAAATGGGAATGGGACCAAGAGTTGGAGGAAGCAGAGAGGGAGAGGAAGGATAGAGGATGAAAATAAGAAGAATTAAGATATACTGTATAGGGCCGGGGATTTAGCTCAGTGGTTTCGC